TTTATTATTTTTATTGTAAATTTTTTTAGGTTTGTTATAATTATTTTTAATATAAATTTTATTTATTATTTTAAATTATTGTTATTATAAATTATTTATATACCTATTTATAATTTTTTTTTACTATATTTATAATAAATATTTACTATATTCAAAAAAATTTATATAATTATAAAAAAAATATAATAAAAAAATATGTATACAATAAAAAATATATAAATTTTGATTATAATTATAATTGAATATTTATAAATTTTTATTTATTATTAGCATTTTTTTTTATTTTTATTCATAAATTATTTTTTTTAATATTATTATTATTATTGTATTATATTTTTTTAATATTATTATATTAATAAATATTATATTATATTATTATATTATTATTTATTAATATTTTCATTAATTATTAATTATCAAATACCGAAAATTAAAAAAGTTTTATATTTTTTTACTTATTATTAATAACATATTAAATATTTTTTAATTTTTATTATTATTATTATTATTATTACTATTTTATTATATTTTTTATATTATTATATTATTTATTAATATTTTCATTAATTATTAATTATCAAATACAGAAAAATAAAAAAAAAAATTTTATATTTTTTTTACTTATTATTAATAATATATTAAAATTTTTTAATTTTTTTTAAGAATTATACATTTTTATAAATAGTAATTATTATAATATTTTTTTTATCTTTTATTTATTATTATTATTTTTATTATTTTTATATTATAAATTTTTTTTTATTTTATTTGTTAAAAAAAATCATAGAAATATTTAAATAAAAATTTATAAAAATTATAATTATTAAATAAATAGCAAATAATTTCCACGTTTTATGTTTTTTATTTTCATATTTTATTGTATTTATTTTTTTTTTTAAATTATTTTATTATTATTATCATTTTAATATTATACATTTTTTTAAAATTTTTTATATTAATAAATATAAGAAAAATATAGGAACAAAAATTGGATAGAAAAAAGATAGAAAAAAAATAATAATAATAATAATAATAAAAATAATAATATATTATAAAAAAAATAAATAAAATCAAAATATATTTACCGGTGACACCCTTCGCCAATGCCCGATCTCCCTCCTGGAGCTGCACTCGAACGGTGTTTTCCAAAATGGGCACAAAAACAAAATACACTCGCGATTTAAAAAAAAAAAAAAAAAAATACGAACACTCCCAAACCACGTGTTTATTAACTCTCAAAAAAAAAAACCCACTATTTTTACATACGATCGCTGTTTTAAATTATATCAAACACTTCCGATATAGAAAATAAAAAATAATTTTTACTCAAATACGCATCACAAAAAAACAACAAACAAAAAATCATAACCTCTATAATTATAACTCGATCGCACGAACACTCCCGAAATCTAACCTTGAAAATAAAAATTTTGAGAATTTAATTAATTTCACAAACACGTGGTCTTTGCAATTGAGAATAATTTTCGATATAATTAAATCACAAGCAATGTCACTGATCAACGACGACACAAGAATGAATAATTTCCATCCCCTGTGGGTGAAAAAAAGAAAAAATCTCGACGATAGATGAATTTTAAGTCACGTGGGACATTTGGAAATTTAGAGACGCGGCGGTAAAGTGATTTTGAACATTTCAACCAATCACCAGAGAAGAAACTGGTGGTAATTGTGTGACAGAGACGGTGGACAAGTTAACTCTCTTTCTCTCTCACTCTTATTATTCAATTTTAATTTAATATTATATTTATTACTTTTATAGATAATAATTATAATTTATATAGATATATAATTATTTTGCCAAAGGAAAATTTTACTATAAGGAGAATATATAATATAATATAATATAATATATATATATAAAAAATCGAAATTTCTGAAATTTACCCCCACCACTTTTAATTACTGCCAGCAAAAGAAATGAGATACTCACGTCTACCAACCTTATAATTTCAAGTGGTGGGGGTAATTTTTTTTTTGTCCACAAAAAATATTTCTATTATAATTATAATGGCAATATTATATTAACATTATGTATAAATATATTTATAATAATAATAATAATAATAATAATAATAATAATAATATATTAATATTATTTTAAATATTAATAATTATAGTTATTATTTAATTATTATAATTATATTATTAGTATAATGTAATTATTATTTGTTAATAATTATTTAATATTTATTATTAATAATAATTAACTAATAATTATAAATTATTGAAATTATTAATTATTATAATTATAATAGATTATAATACTAAATTGTAATTGAGTAATAAGAGTGAGAGAGAAAGAAAGAAACTTGTCCACTCTCACTCTTTCTCGCAATTATCATAATTCACTTCCGGCCTCTAATATAATTGGTGGAAAATTTCAAAAATTTCTTTACCGCGTCAAATGTTACTAATATCACGTGACTTGATTTGCACATCACGTGACTTGAAGTTCGTCTATCGTCGATTTTTTTCATGGGGTTTTGGCGCGGTTATTTCTGTATGGCAATCTATCGGTGACATCGGAGGTTGAAAAAAAATGTCGAAAATATTATATATTATTATCATCGTGAAACAATATGTATATAATTGCCTAAATATCAAATTTCAATTGTTTTATTAATTATTAAAATAAGTGATTATAGATTTATAGCTTTCGGGAGTGCGTGAGTATATTTATATATTAAAATCGCGATCGAGTGAAATATAGGTTAGGAAATTTTTTCTCTTGAGTAAATTTTTTTTCGAGTGTTCGCAGTATACTTTAAAATCGCGTTTGTAATAAAAAATAAGGTTTTTTTTTAGAGGTTATGAATACGCAAAGTACGGGAAAAATTGTCGGAAATTTTTAAAATCGTGATGTGATTTTTTTTTTTTGTGCCATTTTCTGGAAATCATCGTTCGATCGCAGAGCTTCCGGGAAGGAGATCGGGCATAGGCGACGAGTGAGTCTTTTTTTATTTTATTATATTTTTATATATTTACATTTTTATCGAATTTTTTTTTTATTTTTATTCATTTTTATTTTCTATCATATTTTTTTTATTAATTTATACTTTTTATCAAAATTTATAGTATAGGATTTTTATCATTTTTATTAAATAATAAAATTTATTATTATTATTATTATTATTATTATTATTATTATTATATTATTATTTTTATTTACATATATTTTTTTATTTTTGTTAACAAAAATATATATATATATAATATAAAAATAATAATTAGAATAATAATATTATATAAAAAATATATAATTTAAAAATAATAATAATCATAATAACAATAATAAATAAAAAACAAAAATATGTAATATATAGTAATAATTACTAATTATAAAAATATATAATAATTATAATAATAAATAAATAAATATATTAATAAATTTAATAATTTTTAAATAAATAAATATAATAAATAAAAAATTGAAAACTTTTTTAATTCTTAGATATTTATTTATTAATATTTGATAATTTAATAATTATGAAAATATTAAAAAATATAGTAATATAAAAAATATAATAAAAAAAAATAATAATAATACAGTAATAAAATTAATTTATAATCCTAAGAATTAAAAAATAAATAAAATTTATAGTAAATATAATTAAAAAAATATAAAAAATTATAATAATGTTAATTTAAAATTTATAAATATAAAATTAGTTATAATCAATATTTAATATAAATTGATAGTTTTTTTTTACAATTATATTTTTAATTATTAAAATTTTTTAATACACTTTATGTTTAGTTTTTATTTTTATGCATTGTATTTTATATTATTATGTATTTAAATAATTAATAATAATAATAATAATAATAATAATAATAATAATATTAACTAGTTTCTCGCAGACATAAAAAAAACCAGGGCCGTACCTATAATTTCAAACAAATAATTTGTTTAATGCAATTTTTTTTCTAATTTTTAATAATTTTTAAATATTTTGATTTCTAAAAATAAATTCTATTTTAGATATTAATCACAACAAATAGCAAAACATTGATTTTAAATGTAGAAAATTTTTTTATTTCTACATTTAAAATTTTTTTTTTGTAAATTGTTATTTATTTCAGAATTATCAATATTTGTAATTCCCTCCCCCCCCCCCTTTTTTTCGGTAAATTGTTAATATATTTTAAAAATTAAAAAAAAATTTTTTAAAAATTTGTTTCAAACATAATTTATTAATAATCTAAAATATTTTTTTTTAAATATTATTTAAGTTAAAATTTTTTTTTTGGAGAAAGTAAAAAATTTACAGTATAGAAATAAAAATAAATTACTACAAAATTAAAATGAAAAATTACGATAAATTAAATTAAAATTTATAATATTATATTAATTTAAAAAAATTTTTAAAATTAAAAAATTAAAAAATCAAAAATTTTAAAAATTCAAGGAAGTTTGTGATTATTGTTATATTCCTCGTTGTCTGATTGTTTTTTTTTTTTTGTAAATGTCGAAGATTAGGTGACGGATGCATTCCGGGACGTAATCCCTAGTGTAGGTCATTTTGCACCTTGGTCGTTTTGTGTGACTATTAATCGTCAGATTTTCGCGTTTTTTTTAAATATATATGCTTTTTTAATGTAATAATAATTTACAGGGATTGAAAATTGAAAAATAATTTTTTTGCCCATTTATTTATATAATTTAAAAAACATAATTTATTTTAGATTGAAAAATTTGTTTCTTAATTTAAACAATTTAATAAAGTGAAAAAACAATTTACTTGGTTCAAATAATGGGTTATAAATATTTACTTTATACAAAGAAATAATTATTTAATACAAATAAACATATATATATATATATATATATATATTATGAAACAAATAATTATTTATTTGATAATAGTCAATTAACCGATAATTAGAATCAAATAAATTTTTTTTTTTTTACCTATTTCAAGTATAATTATTTATTTATTGAAAATATATGATTTTTTATTTTAAAAAATGAAATGCCATTTATTTTTATTTGAAAATTTATTCATTAAATAGTAAAATACATTGAAAAAAAAATTTTTTTTTACAAATTTTTTATAATAATATTATTATTAATTGTATATATAAATAAAAATTTTAAAACAAAAATCTAACCAACAATACTCGATGCACCTCGTAATGCTAAATAACCAGCGGTAATATCCATTGGTAAACTTCGTACTGTGGTAAATTCTTCAGTTGTTGCATAATATAATTTTGTTTGTGGATCTGTGTATCGTGCTGATAAACCCGAAATATCGGAATATTTTTTTGCCGGTTTAAAACTTGGCGGTGCGTTTATTGAACTATAATGTATTATTTCATTGGACCATGGTAGTGCTCGTTCTTGTGCAAGTACTTGCTTCAATGAACGCCAAATTCGTTTCTTTCCCGAACTACTTGTTGGTCGAAAACGTTGTTGAAATGTTGGATCCTTAAAAACTGGCATTGGCTTTTTATTTGTTTCCACAATTTCCTCATTTACCATCTATAAATTAAAAACGAAATTTATTTTTTTAAAATATTTTTTCATTAACAAAATGCGAAAAAAAATTAATATTAGTTAAAATTATTAACTATTATTAATATTAGAATTAGAATTTTATTTAAATCTAAATTAAATATTATTTAGAATTTTTATTTTAAAATCTTTTATTATGAATAATTATTTTTTACACGAATGTTCAATTTTTAAATAAAAATTTTGAAAAAAATTTTTTTTTATACGAATTTTTAAATAACAAAATTTTTAATTTAATCATTTTCTTTATACATATGCATAATATTGTTCTTTTTTGTTCCAAGATTTGACTGTGGACCAATGAAAGAGGATATAAGAAAAAGTGAAGTGGTTTTTAAAAAACAGGTTGTTTTATATTAATGATGAATAATAAATAACAGTACTTATTGGTCAATTTTTATAAATTGCGCCAAAATCTTTTTGGTAATTGTTTGTTCGGTCAATTTTAATTTCGGACAAATGAAAATTCGGCGTCTTATAAAAATTTTGCACAATTAAAAAATTCGGTGAATTAAAATTTCTGTAACAAAAATTCGCTAGCTAAAAATTTTGTTGAGTAAAAATTTGTATAAAAAAAAAAATTCTCTCAAATGATAATTTGAAAAATAAAAATTCTATGATGTGAATTTTTGGTGATATAAAAATTTTTTAATATAGAAAATCAATTTAATGAAAATTTTGCAAAATAATAATTTGAAAAAATAAAATTCGCTTTAATGAAAATTCGGCAGAATAAAAATTCTATGGAATAAAATTTTGTCGAATAAAATTCTAGTAAATTAAATTCTATGAAATAAAAATTCTAATAATTTATTTTTAGATTTTATTCATGCGTCCCTTAATTATTAATGAAAATTAAAAGTTTTAATTACTAAATTTAAAAAATTTGAATTTCCCAATTCACGGCAAAAATCAAGTGTTGTGATTCGATTTTATTACGCATGCGTATAGAGTTGACAAAAAAAAAATATATATATACACACTGTTTATAAATCGTACTACCTTCGTTTGTGTTTGATCCGATTTTTTCAATTACTTATTATTAATTTTTATTTGATTAAATAAAACGAAATTAAATTAATAATAAACTCGTGAACAATTTTCTTTTTCTAATTTAATTTCGAAGAAAACTAGGTGGAAAATGATAAACAAAAATAGAGGTTAAAATTTGACGTTAAATAGCGAATGGTCACTTCGGTTAGTTTCGTATAAATTCGAGAATGATCGTTTTCGTCGCTCGGTTCAAGCAATATATCATTGAAGTAACAATGTTTTTCCGGGCCCCGTTCTTTTGCATTTTATTCAGTGATTTTTCATTGCATTTATTTTAATTTTATTTTCAAATTAATTGTTTAATATTAATTAATTATTTAATTAATTAATAATAATACATAATAATTATTAATATTATCTGGTATTTTTATGATTATTATGTATTATTATTATTTTTATTACTATTATTTATTATTATTATTGGGCCCCATTATTATTGTTAGTATTATAATGATTAGTATATATTATTATTATTATTATTATTATTATTATTTATTAATAAATGATTAATTAATATTTATAAATAAAAAAAAATTTATTCATATAAAAAAAATGTTTTTAAACAAAAGTTTTTCTACTTAAAGAATTATTGTTGTTTTTATAATATTGGATTAAATTAATTAAATTGATATAATAAATTGACAATTTTTTTATGTATGATACAATTTTTTGTTATGTATATAAAATTTATCGCGCTCAAGAGATGCAATTCTTCTGATAAGAAATTTTGCAGTATATATATATATGTATATAAGCAATCAAACTATATTTCTCGTTGTATATACCTTGCTTTCGATTAACTTTCGCAATTTGCTATTTCCTATCAGTCAGCCTGTGGTCTAGGGGTACTACATACTAACTATCGGTTTGTTTCAATACCGATCAATCATGTATTCGAGACTACCAGCTGACTTTGATTTTTTATCTGAGAATTTTACAAAATCAAGGTCAACATTTAAAATAATAATTTTTTAAGTAATAAAATAAATTAAGTAATAATTACTCAATTAATAATAAATAAAATAATAAAAAAAATAATAATATTAATAAAAATAATAATTATTATTATAATTATTATGATTTTAATAAAAATAATAATTATAATAACTATAATAATAATAATAATAATAATAATAATATGTAAAGTATTTATTTGCCCGCATGTATATATAACCCGCGGTGTGGAGGCAATTTGATGCATATGGATAATATTGCATATATTATTTAACATAAATTTATTTTGAACGCGTGCAAACGTTGTGTCGTCGATGTCAATGCGAAATGGATCGAAATAATGGGAAAAGTGGCACGTGATTTGAAAGTTAAATTGAATTTTCGTTACTCTCCCGTCATGAAAATATTTCGTGGCCCCCCCCCCTTCCCCTTTTGCCACCCTCACCCTTCTAAAACAAATATGCGTAAAATTCAACAATATTTTAATAAATCATAGCATTTTGCTTTTTTTTTTTGGTAAATATGATTCAATTCATTAACATTTTATTTTAAACATTTAATTTAATTTTTTAATTAATTCGAATTTTTCTACAACGTTTTTTCTAAATATTCGATTTTTTGATTTTTCCAATTTTTTGAAAATCCAATTTCATGATAATTCGTACTTTTAATAATTGGAATTTCTAAAAATTTGATTTCCGGATAATTCGAACTTTTAACAAATTAAATTCGATTATAGTAAAAATATTATAAATTTAAATTAGGCTAGTGAATGATGGAACTTTAGTTTTTCTGATATGACTATATGGATAGACACAAAAGAGGATATAAGAAAAAGTGAAGTGGTTTTTAAAAAACAGGTTGTTTTATACTAATGATGAATAATAAATAACATTTTTAAAAATACAGTACTTATTGTTTGCTCTTTCTGTATTTTGAAAGAGAAACATAAACTATAGTTTGTTTAATAAAACAATTATAAACATAACCTATAATTTTTTTTTTATTAAGGCGAATCAATCATAAACATAACCTACAATTTTTTTAATTAAAAAAACTATCATAAACATAACCTATATTTTTATTAGTAGAGTAAATCTATCATAAACATAACCTATAATTTTTAAGCTACCATTAAAAATTAATTTATCTCTCTTAATTTTTTTTATTATTTGATACAATCATTTCACTATAATTTAAAAAAATTTTTGAAATTATTCTGTTTCTTTATTTACTTTTTTTTTAAATTAATTTTTCCACAATATTCTATATAAAGTTCAATGTGTTTAAAAAAAACAACAAAAAAAAAATTATGCCTAAGACCATCAGACATATTTAGCACATTTTATGTAATGTTCCATTCATTTGTATAAATAAGGTCAGAAGTTAGATTTTTCATAAATATATGCAAACTGATGGTCATTTTCACAATACCGTTTTTATGATTAACATAAATATTTTTCACCTCATATTTATGATACATATTTCTATATTCTTTGTTATTTGCTTATATTTTATTTTTTTAAAAAAAAATTAATATTAATATTATTATTATATACAATTAATGTAAAAAATAACAAAAAAATAATTTTAATTATTTAGAATATAAGGAATATTGGTTATCCATAGTGGATGAGTGCCATCGCCTTTTTTTTCACAAGTCATTTTAATTAATTCCTTGGATGGTTCTTTAAGATCATAAGTCCATCCAATTTTTGCAAATGATTCAATAAAAAAAGTGATAAAATTTATTTGATAAAATCCAAATTCAGCTGATTTATAATCCCATGGAAATGTATGATGATAATTGTGCAATCCATCTCCAAGTGTAAATAAATTCATTATTTTATTATTTGCCGGAAATATGTTTCTAAAACAAAATTTTAATTTAAAAAAAAAAAAAAAATTTCTTAAATTTAAAGTATTTTATAAGAAATAATTTTTTTTATATACGAATTTTCAAATTGAAACAATTAGTTATTTTTAAATAATTCAGAAAATTTTTTTCTTTTTGTTTTAAGATATATGACTATGGACGAATAGTTTGTTTAATATTAATGATGAATAAAAAATATTAACCAAAAACAATAATTACGTTCATTTTCATATATGGACGAACGAAATAGGATAGAAGAAAAAGTGAAGTGGTTTTTAAAAAACAGGTTGTTTTATATTAATGATGAATAATAAATAACATTTTAAAAAAACAATACAGGATATAAGAAAAAGTGAAGTGGTTTTTAAAAAACAGGTTGTTTTATATTAATGATGAATAATAAATAACATTTTAAAACAACAATACTAGTTGGTCAATTTTCAAAAATTATGTCGAAATCTTTCTTGTCGATTGTTCATTCGGGTATTTTTAATTTCGGACAAATGAAAATTCGGCGTCTTAAAAATTCTATTAATTCAAAATTTGTATAACTAAAACTTAGGATAAATTTGAAATTCGGTAAATTGTAATTTTTGTCTATTTAAAAATTCGAATCGCATAAAATTCAATTGAATAAAAAATTCTATTAAATTAAAATTCATTTAAATAAAAAATCATTTAAAGAAATTTACTGTAAAATAAAAATTCTACTAAATTAAAATTCGATAGTTTAACATTTTTGTTATATGTAAAAATTTGTATAAAAAAGAAAATCGGTGAAATTTTTATTTAAAAATTGAAAATTCGTTTAAAAAATAATTATTTTTTATTACTTGGGAATCGTAAGATATTTTTTTTGGACGCCATTTTGAATTTTTGAGACCAAATTCGTATTTTTTTTTTAAAATCACCTGTTGTAAGGTTTTGAGCCCCACATGTGTAAGAGGCTACTTCCACTAGCAGTTACATGACCATTTATTAAAATACGAATAAAAACTTGACTCATTATTGACCAATACCAGGTTTCATTCCAAAACATGACTGGCACTATTGATGGAAGAATGACAGCGCAAATTAATAACGTCAATGGATAATATCTATATTTTAAAAAAAAAACATAATATTTAAATAATAAAATTATTTATTATTAATAAATTATTTTTAAATTATTAATTATTATTAATAATTATTAATTAATAATTAATTATAAAATTAATTAGTTACATAAATTTAATTATTAATTATATAATATAAATTAATTTTCAATGTTAAGTTTTGCGTAATACCGATAGTAGTGCGCCTGCGCAGACCCATATAGGTGTGACCTATTTTGGATTTACGCAGGCGCAACGTTATAGTTTCGTTTTTTAGGTTAACTTTTATAAAAAAAAAATTTTATATTAATATAAACCTGTCACCAAATCTTGCAATTGGATCTGCCTCAATATCATTCATATTAATTTCTTTCATTCGTTTAACACATTCGGGATGTGTTTCCAACATCATCCAACCAATGTGTGCGAAAAAAAATCCACGTTTTACATTTGTTGGATCGGCATTAGTGTCTGCATATTTATGATGAACACGATGATGTCTCACCCAATTGTATAATGGAAACTGTAAAATTTGTTTTTTTAAATTTAATTCGCTTTTAAGAAAGGGGCTTGAAAAGCAAAAAATTATAGGTTATGTTTATGATTGAAAATAAATCGAAAAATAGTAGCTTAAGTAGCAAATATGTATCTTACATATGGCTTAAAAATGTATAGGTTATGTTTATGATTGAAAATCAAAGTATATAAAATGATTATAAACATAACCTATAAATTTTCATATACCTGAGCACTGGAGTAGAAAAAAATTGCAAGTAACAATCGAACAGGCCATTTTGCTTTATAAGACGAATGTGACCATAAACGATGTGCACCTCCTGTTATTCCAAGTGCCGTTAATAAGTAACCAATTATCACTTTAATTAACAAAAAAAAAATTATTACTTTTTTTTTTTTGGTAAATTTTGAAAAAAAAAATATTACAAAATTTCTTTTTTTTTCCACTTACACCATGCAAAAGTTGCTTTTTTATTGTAATATGGAAAAGTAAACGTTGCATAAAGACTAATTAGGTGAAATAATAAAATAATTGCAGTATCGGTAAAAATTAATTTTTCCATTTTTTTGGAGGCAAACATTTCACTTTTAATTTTTTTTAAAAAAATTAATTATCTATATATTTTTTTAAATTTATAAAATTTTTATTGTTTTGAAAATAATTTATAACTTTGTTAAAATTTTGTTTAAAAAAGAATGAAACGTTCAATAGCCTGATATAATTGCACTTCAGTTTCCTTTTTTTTGTTCAATATCATTAGTATTTAAATTTCACTTTTTTTTTTTTTTTTTTGATAATTAAACTTTATCATTGTCGTATTGCATATATTTTTTAATTTTAATTTTAAATATTTTTTTATCTTTTTAATTGGCTATATATATAAATTAAATTATTTCCAATTCTAATTTTTTGGTGAAATTAAAATTTTTAAATAGTTTTCTTTTTTTTTTTTATCCATTTAGGAAACAAAAGAGAAAATTGTTTAATATAAAAGAAATGTAGAATTTTTTTTTTAAAAAGACTTTTTTCTTTTTGTCATTTATATTTATTTATAAATTAATTTTGATTTTATAAATTATTTAAATATATTAATATTTTGAAGTTATAAGTTCATATTTACATATAATATTATAATATATAATATAAAAAAAATCTTTGTAGACAACTGTTATTTAGGGTAATTCTACAATGAAATTATTTAAAGGCGAACATAACCACAAAATATAGGTCAAGAAGTTAATATAGTCTTAGAATATAGGTCATTTTAGGGTATTTCCACAATGGATAAAAGCCACAATAAAAATTTAGGTTTGTTTTAAGGTATTTCCACAATATAAAGAAGAAAACATAACCACCAAATTTAGTTTGTTTAAAGGTGTTTCCACAATGAAAAGAGGGCACAATATTCTAAAAATTTAATTTCGTTTTTTAAGATGGAAGGTTAAGGTACTTCCACAATGGAAAGAAAGGCAATATAACCTCCAAATTTAGGTCTTTTAAAGGTATTTCCACAATGTAAAGAAGGCAAAGTAACATCCAAATTTATCTCATATTAGGGTATTTCCACAATGAAAAGAGGTCACAATATTCTAAAAATTGAGTTTTGTTTTTTAAGGTACTTCCACAATTTGAAGAAGGTAATATAATGTAACTTCCTAATTTAGATCATATTAGGGTATTTTCAAAAAGGAACAAGGGCACAATAATTTAAAAATTTAGGTCGTACATCTACAATGGAAAAAAGGCAATATAACCTCTAAATTTAGTTCGTTTTAAGGTACTTCCACAATGGAAAGATGAAATCCATTAATTAGAACAATAAGGAATCTCAGTTTTCCACAATGGATGACTGCCATCACCTTTTCTTTTGCAAGTCATTTTAATTAATTCACTCGATGCTTCTTTAAGATCATAAGTCCATCCAATTTTTGCAAATGATTCTATAAAAAAAGTGAGAAAATTCATTTGATGAAGTCCATATTCAGCTGATTTATAATCCCATGGAAATGTATGATGATAATTGTGCCATCCATCTCCAAGTGTAAATATGTTGATTATTCTATTATTTCTTGGGCCTATGTTTCTGCAAAAAAAAAAAATAGAAGAATTCCACTATATTTACATAATGTAAAGTAAATTACTATCTACATTCTAACATTGTATGAATTTGTATAAATTATCCAAGATATATTATATATATACCTATATATATATATATAATGGTTGCAAATTAGAAAAAAAATCAATTCACTATAATAAATGAAAAATTAAAATTTTTAATATATTAATATATTATTTTTATAAAATTTTTTTTAAAAAATATTAAAATAATTAATTAATATTTAACCTATTGTATGGTTGAGTGCCCCACATATGTAAGAAGCTATTTGAAATTCCTGCTACATGGGTTACTAATAAAAGACGCATAAAAACTTGACTCATAATTGACCAATACAATGTTTCATTCCAAAAAATTATTGGTACCACTGATGGAAGAATAATTGCGCATATTAATGATGTTAAGCCATAATATCTAAAAAAAAGAAACCAAAAATTTTACAAAGAAAGTAATAGTTTTCTTTTTTATTAAATGAAAAACTACAAACTATATCATAAACATAACCTATAATTTTTTAATAAGTATTATCATAAACATAATCTATAATTTTTTATTCTTAACTATTTATTTTATTAATGTACTATTAAAATAAAGTTACAAAAGTTTACTTTGTGAGATTCGTCAAAAAAAAAAAAAAAAAAAAAAAAAAAAAAAAAAAAAAAAAAAAAAAAAAATAGGCCTAAGAAACAAAAAAAGATGAAAAAAATATAGGTTAGGTTTATGATAGTTTTTTTTTTCATTTTTTAATTAAAAAATTATAGGTTACGTTTATGATTAAAAATTAATGAAGAGCAAATTTTTAACTTTTTATATATATACAATATACATTGAAAATAAAAACTAATTTTTATTTTAATTAAATTTTCAACTTTAAAATAATAGGATAAAACTATCATAAAAATATAACCTATAATTTTTTGCTTCTAGGCCTTCTCCCCCCCCCCCTGTTTCTTTAAGAGCGCATTATATTTCTATTTTTCTTACTTGTCACCAAAATAAATTATTTTGTCCGCTTTAATATCACTCATATCAAGTTCTTGCATTTTTTTAATACATTCCGGATGTGTTTTCATCATTAACCATCCTATATATGCAAAGAATAATCCACGTTTCGTATTTGTAGGATCAGCATCTGTTTCTGAATATTTATGATGAAGACGATGCAATCTCACCCAATTAAATATCGTGAACTATTATAGAAAAATAATAATAATAATAATAATTATTATTATTATTATTGTTATTATTATTATTATTATTATTATTATTATTATTATTAATATTGTTATTATAAAATTATTCCTACAATAGGAAAAACTGAATTTTTTTTTTTTTGATTATAAATCGCTTAAAGAAAAGAAAATTTTCTCTAATTGTCTTTTTTTTGGGTTGTATAATTTAAATAACACACAATATAAAATATTAATTTTTACCTCAAGACTTGAGTAGAAAAAAATTGCAAGTAACAATCGAACAGGCCATTTTGCTTTGTAAGAATTGTGTGACCATAAACGGTGTGCACCTCCTGTTATTCCAAGTATCGTGAATGTGTAGTATAGTATCACTTTAAGAAAAAACACCCCCCCAAAAAAATATATATATAATAATAATAATAATAATAATAAAAATAATAATGAATAAAAAATATAAAACAAAGTTAAAAAATTTTTTTTTTTTAAATTACAACAATAAAGTAAATAATAAACAAATTTTCCTAAATAAATTGAAAATTTGCACTAAATGTTTTTTTTTTTAATATATTTATTATTGATCAAAAAAATTATTATAATTATTATTAAAAATTTATTTTTTTTTCAAAACTAATTCTACTCACGACAACCAAAGGTCAATTTTTTATTAAAGTATGGAAAAGTAAAAATTCCATAAATACCAATAATATGTAATAACAAAAAAATTAAAATCCTTTTAAAAATCAAATTTTTAATTCTCATAATTATTATCTTTTTTATTTTTATTTTATTTTATTTTATTTTTTTTTTTAAATAAGAAAATTTTTTTTTATTATCAAAAAAAAAGTTGAATAAAAAAATTTTGTTTCAATATTTTTTTTTGGGATTATTGAATTATTTTTTTTTTTTTTTTGTAATCGTTTGCTACGACTATCAATGGAATACTGAAATCTACGAATGTATATTTAAATATTCAGGTATTTGACTTAGTATATAGCAAATTTTTTTAAGTAGGGACGATTACGTTTTACAATAAAAACTACTTCTTATTTAGTATGTTTATTATGATTAATAGTTTAAGGTATTATATATTAAGGTAATATTTTATGTAATATTACATTTAATATTATACGATAATTTTAAGGTAATATTACAAGTAATATTTAAATAATATTTTAAAGTAATGTTAAGGAAATATTACATATGTAATATTCAAAGAATATTTTAAAGGAAATATTAAGATAATAATCTGTGTAATATTAAGATAATATTTTAAAATAACATTAAGATAATATTAAAGTAACATTACATGTAATATTACCATAATATTACCATAATATTACCATAATATTACCATAATATTGCCAAAATATTACCATAATATTACCTTAATATTACATGAAATATTACCATAATATTACCAAAATATTACCATAATATTACCTTAATATTATATGAAATATTACCATAATATTACCATAATATTGCCATAATATTACCATAATATTACCAAAATATTACCATAAAAATTACCATAATATTACCTTAATATTACCATAATATTACCTTCAGACTAATTTATTTAACTGTAATATTATTTTGATACTATGGTAATATTACATTTATTATTGAGGTAATATTACACTTTAATATTAAATATAATATTTGACGGTAATGTTAATTAATTCTACAACCAGAAATTATAATATTTCAATCATTATGAATTTAATTGACATTAATAACGAATATAGTTGACATTTATAATGAATGTAGTTGATATTCATATTGAATGTAGTTGACTTTATAATGAATTTAATTGACACATGATATTGTCGTTGTTATTTATTTTCGTTAATATTTAACAGTATATTATGACAATAATATTAGAGTAATATTAAATAGTTTGAGTCAAAATATTATTTTGTTAATATTAAATGTAATATTACATGGAATATTACCTCAATATTAAATGTAATGTTACAAGGAATATTAAACGTAATGTTATCAAGGAATATCCCTTGAATATTACATGTAATATTAACTTTATGTTACAATATAATATTCCTGTAATATTATAAGGTGATATAAAAATAATATCTTAATAATATATAAATGAAAGTAAAATAAATTTTTAAAATAGTTTTTTTTTTTAATTTAGAAAACAAAAGAAAAATTGTTTAATGTAAAAGAAATGTAGGATTTTTCTAAAAAAGAAGACATGTTTTTTTTGTCTATTATATTTATTTGTAAATTAATCTAGATTTTATAAAATATTTATATATTCATATTTTGAAGTTATAAAAATTCATATTTACATATTATATTATATTATATTTGCAATATAACGTAATATAATGTAATAAAATCCTTGTAGACAACTGTTTTTTAGGGTAATTCTACAAAGAAATTATTTAAAGGCGAACATAACCTTAAAATATAGGTCAAGAAGTAAATATACAGTCTTAGAATATAGGTCATTTTAGGGTACTTCCACAATGGATAAAAGGTACAATAAAAATTTAGGTTCATTTGAAGATATTATCACAATGTAAAGGAAGGCAACATAACCTCCAAATTTAGGTCTTTTAAAGGTATTTCCACAATGTAAAGAAGGAAAAGTAACAACTAAATATAGGTCATTTTAGGATATTTCCACAATGGATAAAAGCCACAATAAAAATTTAAGTTTGTTTTAAGTTATTTCCACAATATAAAGAAGGAAACATAACCACCAAATTTAGTTCGTTTAATGGTGTTTCGACAATGAAAAGAGGGTACAATATGCTAAAAATTTAGTTTCGTTTTTTAAGATAGAAGGTTAAGGTACTTCCACAATGGAAAGAAAGGCAATATAACCTCCAAATTTAGTTCGTTTTAAGGTACTTCTACAATGAAAAGAAGGCAATATAACCTCCAAATTAAGGTCGTTTTAAGGTACTTTTATAATGGAAATAAGGCAACATAATCTCCAAAATTAATTCGTTTTAAGGTATTTCTATAATGGAAATAAGGCAACATAACCTCCAAAATTATGTGATTTTAAGGTACTTCTACAATAAAAAGAAGGCAGTATAATATCCAAATTTAGTTCGTTTTAAGGTACTTCTATAATGGAAATAAGGCAACATAACCTCCAAAATTAAGTGATTTTAAGGTACTTCTACAATAAAAAGAAGGCAGTATAATTTCCAAATTTAGTTCGTTTTAAGGTACTTCTATAATGGAAATAAGGCAACATAACCTCCAAAATTAAGTGATTTTAAGGTACTTCTACAATAAAAAGAAGGCAGTATAATTTCCAAATTTAGTTCGTTTTAAGGTATTTCTATAATGAAAATAAGGCAACATAACCTTCAAAATTAAGTCGTTTTAAGATACTTCCACAATGGAAAGATGAAATCCATTAATTCGAACAATAAGGAGTCTCAGTTTTCCACAATGGATGACTGCCATCTCCTTTTCTTTCGCAAGTCATTTTAATTAATTCACTCGATGCTTCTTTAAGATCATAAGTCCATCCAATTTTTGCAAATGATTCAATAAAAAAAGTAAGAAAATTTATTTGATAAAATCCAAATTCAGCTGATTTATAATCCCATGGAAATGTATGATGATAATTGTGCCATCCTTCACCAAGTGCAAATATGTTGATTATTTTATTATTTGTTGGACCTATGTTTCTGAAAAAGAATAGAAGAATTCCAATATATTTACATAATGTAAAGTAAATTATTATCTAGATTCTAACATTATATGAATTTGTTTAAATTATCCAAGATATATTATATATATATATATATATATATATATATATATATAATGGTTGCAAATTAGAAAAAAAGTCAATTCACTATAATAAATGAAAAATTAAAATTTTTAATATATTAATATATTATTTTTATAAAATTTTTTTAAAAAATATTAAAATAATTAATTAATATTTAACCTATTGTATGGTTGAGTTCCCCACATATGTAAGATACTATTTGAAGTTCCTGCTACATGGGTTACTAATAAAAGACGCATAAAAACTTGACTCATAATTGACCAATACAATGTTTCATTCCAAAAAATTATTGGTACCACTGATGGAAGAATAATTGCGCATATTAATGATGTTAAGCCATAATATCTAAAAAAAAGAAACCAAAAATTTTACAAAGAAAGTAATAGTTTTCTTTTTTATTAAATGAGAAACTAGAAACTATATCATAAACATAACCTATAATTTTTTAGTCTTAACTGTTTATTTTATTATTTTACTATTAAAATAAAGTTACAAAAGTTTATTTTGAGATATTCGTCAAAAAAAAAAAAAAAAAAAAAAAAAATGGGCCTAAGAAACAAAAAATTATAGATGAAAAAAATATAGGTTAGGTTTATGATAGGTTTTTTTGTTTTTTTAATTAAAAAATTATAGGTTACGTTTATGATGAAATTGCCTAACAACCAATAAATTATTAAAAAGTCTTGAAACGAACATAACCTTTAAATTCAAGTCATTTTTGGCTATATTGAAAGTCTTGAAATTTACATAACCATAAAATTTATGTCATTTTTGGCAGGAAATAAAGAGAGAGATGAGGAAAGGGGGAAGGACTTATTGCTTTATTAGGGTCTTAAAACAAACATAACCTCAAAATTTAGGTCAATTTTTGGCGGAGGAGGGGAAATGAGAGGAGGGAGGGGGGACTTGCGGCTATATTCAGAGCCTTGAAACGAACATAACCTCAAAATTTAGGTCATTTCTGGCGGGGGAGGGGAGGGGACTTGCGGCTATATTCAGAGCCTTGAAACGAACATAACCTCAAAATTTAGGAGGGGGAACTCCCCCCTCTTAGGTCAAGAATTCTTGAAACAGCCGTGGCGGAGGGGGCGGCGGCGATATCTTTTTGTAATATAGGAATATATATATATATATATATATATATATAAATAAATAATAAAGATAAAAATTTGCTCTTTATCTATATATACATTGAAAATAAAAACTAATTTTTATTTTAATTAAATTTTCAACTTTAAAATAATAGGATAAAACTATCATAAAAATATAACCTATAATTTTTTGCTTCTAGGCCTTCTCTCTCCCCCCCCCCCCTATTTCTTCAAGAGCGCATTGTATTTTTATTTTTCTTACTTGTCACCGAAATAAATTATTTTGTCCGCTTTAATATCACTCATATCAAGTTCTTGCATTTTTTTAATACATTCCGGATGTATTTTCATCATTAACCATCCTATATGTGCAAAGAAAAATCCACGTTTCGTATTTGTAGGATCAGCATCTGTGTCTGTATACTTATGATGAACACGATGAAATCTCACCCAATTAAATAACGTGAACTATTACAGAAAAAAAAATAATAATAATAATTATTATTGTTATTATTATTATTATTATTATTATTATTATTAATATTGTTATTATAAAATTATTCCTACAGTAGGAAAAAATGAATTTTTTTTTTTTTTGTTATAAATCGCTTAAAGAAAAGAAAATTTTCTCTAATTGTCTTTTTTTTTGGTTGTATAATTTAAATAACACACAATATAAAATATTAATTTTTACCTCAAGACTTGAGTAGAAAAAAATTGCAAGTAACAATCGAACAGGCCACTTTGCTTTGTAAGAATTGTGTGACCATAAACGGTGTGCACCTCCTGTTATTCCAAGTGCCGTTAATATGTAACATACTATGACTTTAAGAAAAAACCAAAAAAAAAAAAATATATATATATATATAATAATAATAATAATAATAATAAAAATAATAATGAATAAAAAATATAAAACAAAGTTAAAAAACAATTTTTTTTGAAAATTACAACAATAAAGTAAAGAATTAACAAATTTTCCTAAATAAATTGAAAATTTGCATTAAATGTTTGTTTTTTTTAAATAGATTTATTATTGATCAAAAAAATTATTATAATTATTATTAAAAATTTATTTATTTTTTTTTTCAAAATTAATTTTACTCACGCCAACCAAAAGTCAATTTTTTATTAAAATATGGAAAAGTAAAAATTCCATAAATACCAATAATATGTAATAACAAAATAATTAAAATCCTTTTAAAAATCAAATTTTTAATTCTCATAATTATTATCTTTTTTATTTTTATTTATTTTTTTTTTTTTTAAATAAGAAAATTTTGTTTTATTATCAAAAAAAAAAGTTTAAAAAAAATTGTTTTTCAATAATTTTGTTTTTTTTTGGATTATTGAATTATTTTTTTTTTTTTTTTTTTTGTAATCGTTTGCTACGACTATCAATGGAATACTGAAATCTACGAATGTATATTTATAAATAGTCAGGTATTTGACTTACAATTAGTATTTAGGGGCCATCCATAAATTACGTTGCGCTTGAAGGGGAGGGGGGGGGTCAAGAATTTACAACATTCAATAGAAAAAATGGTGCTAATGTATGCAAAAGGTGTAACGTGGGGGAGGGGAGGGGGAGTCGAAAATGGTGAAAAATAGTTCAACATTATTTATGGATGGCCCCATAGCAAATTTTTTTGAGGTAGGGGAGATTACGTTTTGCAATAAACACTACTTCTTATTTAGTATGTTTAATATGATTAATAGTTTAAGGTATTATATTAAGGTAATATTTTATGTAATATTACATTCAATATTATTTGATAATTTTAAGGTAATATTACAAGTAATATTTAAATAATATTTTAAGGTAATGTTAAGGAAATATTACATATGTAATATTCAAAGAATATTTTAAAGGAAATATTAAGATAATATTCTGTGTAATATTAAGATAATATTCTGTGTAATATTAATATAATATTCAATGTAATATTAAGATAATATTCAATGTAATATTGAGGTAATATTAAAGTAACATTAGATGTAATATTACCATAACATTACTATAATATTACCATAATATTACCATAATATTACCATAATATTACCATAATATTACCATAATATTACCTTAATATTACATGAAATATTACCATAATATTACCATAATATTACCATAATATTACCATAATATTGCCAAAATATTACCATAATATTACCTTAATATTACATGAAATATTACCATAATATTACCTTAATATTACATGAAATATTACCATAATATTACCAAAATATTACCATAATATTACCTTAATATTACATGAAATATTACCATAATATTACCATAATATTGCCATAATATTACCATAATATTACCAAAATATTACCATAAAAATTACCATAATATTACCTTAATATTACCATAATATTACCTTCAGACTAATTTATTTAACTGTAATATTATTTTGATATTATGGTAATATTACATTTAATATTGAGGTAATATTACACTTTAATATTAAATATAATATTTGACGGTATAATGTTAATTAATTCTACAACCAGAAATTATAATATTTCAATCATTATGAATTTAATTGACATTAATAACGAATATAGTTGACATTTATAATGAATGTAGTTGATATTCATATTGAATGTAGTTGACTTTATAATGAATTTAATTGACACATGATATTGTCGTTGTTATTTATTTTCGTTAATATTTAACAGTATATTATGACAATAATATTAGAGTAATATTAAATAGTTTGAGTCAACATATTATTTTGTTAATATTAAATGTAATATTACATGGAATATTACCTCAATATTAAATGTAATGTTACAAGGAATATTAAACGTAATGTTATCAAGGAATATCCCTTGAATATTACATGTAATATTAACTTTATGTTACAATATAATATTCCTGTAATATTATAAGGTGATATAAAAATAATATCTTAATAATATATAAATGAAAGTAAAATCAATTTTAAAATAGTTTTTTTTTTTTAATTTAGAAAACAAAAGAAAAATTGTTTAATGTAAAAGAAATGTAGGATTTATCTAAAAAAGAAGACATGTTTTTTTTGTCTATTATATTTATTTGTAAATTAATCTAGATTTTATAAAATATTTATATATTCATATTTTGAAGTTATAAAAATTCAAATTTACATATTATATTATATTATATTTGCAATATAACGTAATATAATGTAATAAAATCCTTGTAGACAACTGTTATTTTAGGGTAATTCTACAATGAAATTATTTAAAGGCGAACATAACCTCAAAATATAGGTCAAGAAGTAAATATATAGTCTTAGAATATAGGTTATTTTAGGGTACTTCCACAATGGATAAAAGGTACAATAAAAATTTAGGTTCATTTGAAGATATTCCCACAATGTAAAGGAAGGCAATATAACCTCCAAATTTAGTTCGTTTAAAGGTACTTCTACAATGAAAAGAAGGCAATATAACCTCCAAATTAAGGTCGTTTTAAGGTACTTTTATAATGGAAATAAGGCAACATAATCTCCAAAATTAATTCGTTTTAAGGTACTTCTATAATGGAAATAAGGCAACATAACCTCCAAAATTAAGTGATTTTAAGGTACTTCTACAATAAAAAGAAGGCAGTATAATATCCAAATTTAGTTCGTTTTAAGGTACTTCTATAATGGAAATAAGGCAACATAACCTCCAAAATTAAGTGATTTTAAGGTACTTCTACAATAAAAAGAAGGCAGTATAATTTCCAAATTTAGGTCGTTTTAAGGTAATTCTATAATGAAAATAAGGCAACATAACGTCCAAAATTAAGTGATTTTAAGGTACTTCTACAATAAAAAGAAGGCAGTATAATTTCCAAATTTAGGTCGTTTTAAGGTATTTCTATAATGAAAATAAGGCAACATAACCTTCAAAATTAAGTCGTTTTAAGATACTTCCACAATGGAAAGATGAAATCCATTAATTAGAACAATAAGGAATCTCAGTTTTCCACAATGGATGACTGCCATCTCCTTTTCTTTCGCAAGTCATTTTAATTAATTCACTCGATGCTTCTTTAAGATCATAAGTCCATCCAATTTTTGCAAATGATTCAATAAAAAAAGTGATAAAATTTATTTGATAAAATCCAAATTCAGCTGATTTATAATCCCATGGAAATGTATGATGATAATTGTGCCATCCATCTCCAAGTGTAAATATGTTGATTATTTTATTATTCATTGAATCTATGTTTCTGGAAAAAAAAAATCCTCAATATATTATATTTGCATAATGAAAAGTAGATTATTACCTAGATTCCATAACTTTGTATGAAATTGCATAAATTATTTAAGGAAATTATCGTATGAAAGATATATAGATATAATAGCGGTAAATTTAAAAAGAAAAATATTTTTTTTTTGAGTTTTATAACTTATATTTAATTAATTGTTAATTTATATAATTAATTATTAATTTATTTAATTAATTGTTAATTTATAGAATTAATTATTAATTTATTTAATTAATTATTTATTTCATTATTTAAATGATGAATTATTTAATTTCTTAATTAATTAATAATTTACCTATTGTATGGTTTAGTTCCCCACATATGTAAGAAACTATTTCCACTTGCTGCTGAATGGGAAGTTAATAAAAGACGCATAAAAACTTGACTCATAATTGACCAATACAATGTTTCATTCCAAAAAATTATTGGTACCACTGATGGAAGAATAACTGCGCATATTAATGTTGTAAAGCCGAAATATCTAAAAAAAAAACATGATATTTTACAAAAAAAAAAATCTTTTTTAAAATGAAAAACTATGCGAACTCTCATTGACATAACCTATATAATTTCTCTAAAAACTCAAATATAAGCTATTTTTTTCTCGAAATTATCATAATTTTTTTTTTTTTTTTAAACAACATAGAAAAAATGATATTTAAGATTGGTTTAAAATTTGCGACAAGTTTTTAAAAAAGAGGACCCAAAGAAGCAAAAAAAAATTTTTAGGTTATGTTTATGATAGATTTACCCATTTGATTAACAATTTATTTTTTTAACAATGTAAAAACAAAATCAATTTTTATTTCTTATGTAATAATTCTCTTTGTGTATTTTCAATCATAAACATAATCTATAATTTTTTTAATTCTGATATAGAAATGATATAATAAACATAACCTATAATTTTTTTTTTTACTTTTTTGACCTCTTTCTTTAAAGCGCGTCTCATTTAAATTTTGATAACTTAATTTTCATATTAAATTGAAAAAAATAAATAAGCCCAGTGGGAAATTTACCATTGGCAAAAGGAATGGCCCAATATTGGCAGCATTGGCCCAATATTGGATCATAATTGGTCCTATAATGGCCCAATCGTTACCATTGGCAATTTCCCATTGGGTACTTAATTAAAAAAAAAAAATTATAGGTTATGTTTATTATATTTGTACCATTAATTAAAAAATTATAGGTTATGTTTATTATATTTGTACCCTTAATTAAAAAATTAGAGGTTATGTTTATAATTGAAAATACACAAATAGGAAAAGAAAATACAAATTTTTTCTCTTGATTATAGAAAATAAAAACTAATTTTCATTTTAACTAATCGGTAGCTTTTTTTTTTTACTAATTAATGTAAAACTATCATAAACATAACCTATAATTTTAATTCTTCCCTTTTTTCAAGAGCGCATTATATATTTATTTTTCTTACTTGTCACCGAAATAAATTATTTTGTCCGTTTTAATATCAGTCATATCAAGTTTTCGCATTTTTTCAATGCATTCCGGATGTTTTTCCATCATTAACCATCCTATATGTGCAAAGAAAAATCCACGTTTTGTATTTGTTGGATCAGCATCAGTTTCAGTATACTTATGATGAGCACGATGAAATCTCACCCAATTAAATAACGTGAACTATTATAGAAAAATTATTATTATTATTATTATTGTTATTATTATTATTATTATTAATATTGTTATTATAAAATTATTCCTACAGTAGGAAAAACTGAATTTTTTTTTTTGGTTATAAATCGTTTAAAGAAAAGAAAATTTTCTCTAATTGTCTTTTTTTTTAGTTGTATAATTAAAATAAAACACAAAATAAAATATTAATTTTTACCTGACAACTTGAGTAGAAAAAAATTGCAAGTAACAATCGAACAGGCCACTTTGCTTTGTAAGAATTGTGTGACCATAAACGGTGTGCACCTCCTGTTACACCAAGTGCCGTTAATGTGTAACATAGTATCACTTTAAGAAAAAACAAATTTTTTTTTTAACGGAAAAATATAATAATATTAATAATAATAATAATAATAAATAATTTCTTTAAAAAAAGAATTTTTTTATGAAGGAAAAACATTTAATAATATTTAATAATAATAGTATAATTTATTTGTAACGCTCTCTGAAGAAAGGAACCTTAGAAGCAAAAAATTTTAGGTTATGTTTAAAAATTTTTTTTTTCATTACATTCAAAATATTTAAATAAAAATTGATTTTAAGTTTACATAAATAAAAAGAAAATTTTTAATCAAAGTAAAACTATCGTAAACATAACCTATAATTCGTTTGCTTTTAAGGTCCATTTTTTTAAGATCCAATAATTTATTATTATTATTATTATTATTATTATTATTATTAAAAATTATTTTTGTATTTAATTTTACTTACTCCAACTGAAAGTTAATTTTTTATTAAAATACGGAAATGTAAACATTCCATAAAGACCAACAATGTGAACAATAATAATAATTAAAATTTGTTTAAAATCCCATTTTTTATTTATATTTGACATAATTATTTTTTTTTTTTTTTTGTAAAAAAATGATTTGATTTACTGAATTTTTTTTTTTTTTTGAATCGTTCCTTACGACTATCTATGGAATACTGAAAAAAAACTTTTCTCTACCATATAGAAATCTACAGTGTAATATTTAAAAGTCAGATATTTGACTTTGTATATAGCCAATTTTGTAGGTAGGGGAGATTGAGTTTTGCAACAAGAACTATATTCATTTAATATGTCTGACATAATTACATATATATAGTAAATTTCACTATATTCATAGTGGAAATTTTTTTCTTTATCACTCGAATATATATAATCGGTTTACTATATTTATATCAAATAAATAAATAAATAAATAACATGTAATATTAAGGTAAACATTGTATGTATTATTCAAGTAATATTACATGTAATATCTAGGTAATATTACATGTAATATCCAGGTAATATTACATGTAATATTGAGGTAATATTATGCTAACATTACATGTATTATTCAAGTAATATTTCATTTAAAATTTCTTGTAATGTTACATGTAATGTCCAGGTAATATTTTAAGATAATATTCAGGTAATATTCCATGTAATATTAAGGTAATATTCCATGTAATATTGATGTAATATTCTATGTAATATTCCACATAATGTCCAGGTAATATTTTAAGATAATATTCAGGTAATATTCCATGTAATATTAAGGTAATATTCCATGTAATATCGATGTAATATTCTATGTAATATTACACATAATAGTCCTTGTAATATTACATGTAATGTTAGGGTAAACTGTAGGTAACATTGCATGTAATATTCAGGTAATATTTTAATATTAATATAATATTGCGAATTTTCCATGTAATATTACTGTGATATTATAAGGTATACTGTCCCACATAATAAATAATAATAATAATAATAATAATAATAATAATAATAATAATAATAATAATAATAATAATAATAATACTTAAATAAATAAATAAATGAAAGTAAAAGAAATCAAGCAATATAGAATCAGCACGAGTTTTAAAAACTACACATGTTATGTCGTCGACCTTTAAAAATATCTGAAGAGTCTCAAAATATAATGAAATTCAAAAGTATGTTTATATACCTAAAACCAGGTGTTTCGTAAGAAGCATTAACAAATTTCTAAAGAGAGTCCACAAAACTTTATATTATTACGATTGTTTTCTTTAACCATAAAAATCAATGACTAATTCATTATTTGATTTTTTTTTCTTCACCTCTCTCTTTATTTGCAATGATGAGTAACAAAAAAATTTTTTTTTTTTTGAAGAAATTTCTTTGCCAAAAAAAATTTTACTTTTTTTTTTGTTATGAAAGTAACGCGTTACTTTTAATATTTTTCAAAAAGTAACGGTATAACATTACCAAGAAATTTATTTGTCAAAAGCAATAATTATACTTTTCTCGTTATCGGAGTAACGCGTTACTTTTAATATTTTTAAAATAATTAACGATAACCGTACCTGTTTTTCAAAAAAAAAAAAAAAAAAAAAATTCTTGCCCAAAAAAAAAAACACTGTTGTTTTTCTCGTTATTTTGCAGCAATCAATTATTATCTCTTAAAGTCTCCCATTATTTAGATATTTTGACATAGTAAAATCATTCGATAACATACTTTTCTTTTACATAAATTTAAATAGTCATTCACGGATGTGAATAAATTATATAGAGTTATATATTACTATTTGACATAATTCTTATTCTAAATAACAATCGCACACACAGACACACATAGAACCATTTTTTTTTATAACGTAACTAGACTTCTGCGCAAAAAAAAATTTCACTTTTTTATGTTGATTCAGTAAACACTAAAATTTAAACAATTATCCTAATTCTTATTTAGTCTAATTTCTAAATTCTAATTGTTATTTGCCCGAAATTGAAATATTTTTCTTTTCTGTTTCAGATATATGACTATACGGACACACAAAATAGGATAGAAGAAAAAGTGAAGTGGTTTTTAAAAAACAGGTTTGTTTTATATTAATGATGAATAACAAATAACATTACAAAAAAAAAAAATACACAATACTGAGAACCACAGAAATTCCAATTCAAATTGGAAAATTTATGTACTCCTTAATTTTAAGTGCCCCAAAAATCGTATTTTGTCTAATTCTTAATGAGACAAATTCTTCTAAAGCCTTTTTTTTCTAAACGGGACAAATTTTTTATTCAACCGAATTTGTATTTTTCTCATTCTTATTTAGCCTAATTTTAAGTGGGACAAATTTTGCCTAATTTTTATTTAGCCTAATTCTTATGTAGCCTAATATTTCTGGGGTCTAATTTTTATATAGCTAAATTTTTAAGGGTTCTATTTTTTATTTATTCTAATTTTTAATATAGACTAATTTTTAATGAATCTACTTTTTATTTAGCCCAATTCTTATTTGGTCTAATACTTATCTAATTCTAAATTTTTTTTTATTTTTTATATATAACCCTAATTCTCAAAAGGGTCTAATTCTTATTTAGGCTAATTTTTAACGAACGTAATTTTTGGCCTAATTTCTATTTAGCCTAATTTTTATTTTTCCCAATATTTATCTATTTTAATACTAATTCCTGTTTTATTATAATTTTAAATTAAGTAAAAATATTACAACTACATAAGAATTAGAATGATAGATAAAAATTAGTTGGAATATTAATTAAATTAAAATTTAAATTAACTTTCAATTTAAAAATTAAATTAAATATAAAATTTTAAAGAAAATCGCGGTATTTTTATTGTTGAAAATTTATACACACGATGGCGCTTTGTACGATTATATATATATATATATATATATATATATGTCCCTAATGCGCCGGCGCAACAACAATCGCAGATGTCTGGGTGTTCCCTACCCTCATGTGAATTCACCAGTAACGTCACTAAAAATTACTATTTCCCCACTGAATTTTAATAATTTCCCCCCCAAAAATATATTCACTCTTTCTCTCTCTATTTAGAAAAAAAATATCATTAATTTTACCCTAAATTTTCTTTTTTCTTTTTATCTCAATGAAAATTCAAAAAAAAAAATTTTTTCAAGAAAATTAATTTTCACTTTGATAAAGGGCACTAGTTTAATGTAATGCCGTTCATGTCGAGACTAGTTCACAATGTCGACGGGTTTCCTCTCTCTTTTTTTTTCAACGATCGATATACGTTGTTTCACGACCTCAAGCGGCTTATACTCGAAACTTAAAACGCGAGGGCTCTCATGTATATGACTGGCTCGTATATATAAAAATGTTCTCTATATAACCCTCTCTTTTAAACTTTTTTTTTTGCATTCTCTGTTCCTCTTCATCATCCCCTTTAAATTTTTTCAAAAAAAAAAAAAAACCGCGTGTGTATGTGTATATCCATCGTTCTCTTAAGAGAGAGAGAAAAAAAAAATTCGCGCTTTTTTTTCTAGTTCTACTTCCGGTGTGAAAAATAAAATTTCCCAAAAAAAAGGCCAATTTTGAAAAAATCACGTTACATTTTTATTAAAAAGTCGGGCGGCGCGATTTCCGGTATAGCGTGCCTACAAGCTGTTAAATGGCTCTTTGAGAATCGATTTTTTTTTTTTTTTTTAAACTGAAGAAAAAAATAAAGAGAAAAAGAAACAATAATGAAGAGGGTAGAAAAAGATTTAATAAGTGAGATGTATTATTATATTATAAATATAAATAAATAAATATATGGGGAAAGGCGGGATTTTTTTTTGGTTATGTCGACCGGGACATTGGAGCGTCGCGGGTGTGCGCTTCGGCTTTATCAAACACAAGACGGAGGGAAAATTGTTCGCTTTTTTTTTGGGGGATGAGAATAAAGAATTTTTTTTTGAAAAATGAAAATTAACTATTTGGGTGAAATGGCCCATTGTCGACGGCCTCGAGGTCGACTTAGGAACTTATTTCAAGTGTTGAAAAAATTCACTATTGTCGCTGTTAGTTTTATGATTCTTGGTTCATTGACACCCACAGCCTCTGGTGAACCCAGCAAGGAATGTGAGTACAATTGTTATTTAAGTGTGAATAGTTAATGTTAAATTTTGCATTTTTCGTGAAAAATTTGAATTAGTTTTTTTTTTTTTTACTAATTCAGCAAGAAAGATTCGTTTACTATAAATTAATTAGTAGGTTTTTTTTCGAAAAACTAATTTAGCAGCAGTGATTCGTTAATTGCTTTAAATAAATTAGTAACGGTTTTAACTAAATATTTTACTAAAAAAAAACTATTTTTTAACTAAAAGAACTAATTTTTTTTACTAAATAACTTACTTTTTACGAATTTAAATTTAGTAAGCATTACTAAACAAATTAGTAGTTTTCGAATATTAATTATTAGGTTTTCCACTATTAATTAGTTATGTTTTACTAAAAATTGTTTTTTTTTACTAATTTTAATTAGTATGCCTTATCAAACAAATTAGTAGATTTCTACTATTTTATTACTAATTATTTGTTATTTTTATTACTAATTTCAACTAAAGTTTAATTATTAAGCATTACTAAATAAACTAATGTTTTATCTAGTAGAAAACTATTAATTTCTTAAGTAAGTTTTACTAATTTAAAATAGTAAAAAAATTTTGATAATAAAAAAAATAATTTTTTTAGTAAAAAATAACTTATTAATTATTACTATTCTGATTAGTAAGTATTACTAACTGAAATTAGTAAAATTAGTAAATTAATAAAACTTGTAAATTAGTAAATTATAAAATTAGTAAAATTAATAAATTTAGGAAATTAGTAAAATTAAAATTAGCAAATTAGTAAAATAAGTAAATTTATAGTAATTTTAATTGAGTGAATATACTAAAATTTATTTTTGTCAAAATACTACTAAAATTAAATTGTGCCAAACAAAATAGTAGAGATAACATATATATATATATATATATATATATATATATATTTGTCCTAAAATTAAGAGAACAATCAATTAGAGTGAAAGGGGTTACTATATATATAGAGAGAGAGAGAGACTTTTTTCGCTGTTGTACTATATTTCGAATTAATCAATGATCAATTTTACAAATTCTATTGTCGTAATAAGTTCATTTAAAAATAAAAATTTTTTACACAATACATAAATTAAATGAAGAAACGTTTCTACTATATTCACATATCGTAAAAAAAATAGTAGAAATACGTAATTTAATTACAATAAAAAAAATGAGGTATATAAAAAAAACTTGCTCATTCAATATTGTCGGAAGTTCATTTGTTATTTTTATATTACACATAATATACAGAAAAGAAATAAAATTTCCATAAGTCGATTATATTATCCGTTTTTTTTTTTTTTTTTTTTTTTTTTTTTTGTAAAAACGCGAAACATTTCTTTGAACGACTTTTTCTATCTTTTCTTCTCTTTTATTAGCTTTGAGAGAAATTTAAATAAATTCAATATATATGACTCTCTTCCCCCCCCCTCTCTCTCTTTCTTTGAAACAATGAGAATCAACAAAATGGACTTCATTCGAATTTTAAAAGTTTCTCTTTCCCATAAATATATATATATATATTTTTTAATCTATGTTTTTGACATAGGACCTAAATTTTTGAGGTTATGTTCGTTTTAACTTTTATTTTTGAAATTTGACCTTGAATTTTTAGGTTATGTTCGTTTTTAATCTATAATTTTGTTATTTCATCTTAAATTTTTAGGTTATGTTCGTTTTTGACCTAAATTTTTGACATGGTTATAGTACAATGACTGGAATCGATGTTGTACTAATCATATCAAAAATTTAGGCCCGAAAACGAATATAACCTAAAAATTCAAGATGAAATAACAAAAATATAGGTTAAAAACGAACATAACCTAAAAATTCAAGGTCAAATTTCAAAAATAAAGGTTAAAAACGAATATAACCTCAAAAAATCAAGGTCCTATGTCAAAAACATAGATTAAAGACAAACATAACCTCAAAGAAATTTTTTTTATCGATTTCTACGTTTTTTTTTGTATTTTTCAAGAAGGAATTTACTTTTTTTTGGGGGGGAAAAAAAATTTTGATCCTTTGCAAAAGAATTCTTATGGCATTTTCAATCCAAAAAGAGAGAGAGAGAGAGAGAGAGAGAGAGAGAGAGAGAGAGAGAGAGAGAGAGAGAGAGAGAGAGAGAGAGAGAGAGAGACTTAGAGGGGGAAGAGAGAGTGGCTGCCAGTAGCTTCATCGTGGAATAGGAAATGAATCCACCGATTCGATATCAGGCGCGACAACGTATGGCTACCACCCCCCCATAAATCTGACGCTTTTGCTCTATAACGGAAAGTAATATTAAAGGCGCGCCATCTCTCTCTCTCTCTCTCTCTCTTACTCTCTCTGGTGAGGATAGCTCATCGCTGACTATATCGTCGTCTCTGCATCGACGTTTCTTTCTACACATCTTCGACGATTTTAACCTCTCCCATCATCTTCGTTTTTTTATCCACCACCACTTTGCGGAATATATTCTGCAACCTCACTTTCATATATATACTTAAGAATATAAGGGAAAATAAAATTTAATTTACTCTCTAAATTTGAATCAGTCACTTTTGACTAAATTGACGATTTGTTTATTCAATGAATTGGTAATTGTTTTTTTTTTTTTTTTTTTACTAATTTTTAGTGAAAAAATGACTAATTGATAATAGAACTAATAGTAGTTTAAAACTAACAGTAATTTTGGTAGTTTTATACTAACAGTAGATTTAGTAGTTATAGTATTTTTATACTAATAGTAGTATTATACTAACAGTAGTTTGACACTTACAGTAATTTTGAACAAACAATAGTTTAATACTAACAGTAGTTTAATACTTACAGTAGTTTAATACTAACAGTAGTTTAATACAAACAGTAGTTTTATACTAAAAGTAATTTTATAATAATAGTAATTTTATACTTACGGTAGTTCTATGCTAATAGAACATATATAATAACAGTAGTTTTTTTAGTATTATACTAATAGTAGTTTTATACAAATAGTATTTTTATTCTAACAGTAGTTTTAGTAGTACAATACTAATAGTAGTTTTATAGTATTTTAGTTTTATATTTAATAGTACTTTCATACTAACAGTAGTTTTAGTACTTACTAAAACTGCTAAAATTACTGTAAGTAAAAAACTACTGTTAGTGTAAAACTACTGTTAGTATAAAATTACTATCAGTATAAAACTACTATTAATATAATATTACTAAAACTACTATTAGTATAAAACTACTGTTAGTATAAAACTACTATTAGTATAAAACTAGTGTTAGTATAAAACTACTATTAGTATAAAACTACTGTTAGTATAAAACTACTATTAGTATAAAACTACTGTTAGTGTAAAACTACTGTTAGTACAACGCTGCTATTAGTATAAAACTAATATTAAAATAATACTACTAAAACTACTGTTAGTATAAAACTACTATTAGTATAAAACTACTATTAGTATCAAACTACTATTAGTATCAAACTACTATTAGTATCAAACTACTATTAGTATCAAACTACTATTAATATAATACTACTAAAACTACTGTTAGTATAAAACTACTATTAGTATAAAACTACTATTAGTATAAAACTACTATTAGTATAAAACTACTATTAGTATAATACTACTAAAACTACTGTTAGTATAAAACTACTATTAGTGTAAAACTACTGCTAGTATAAAACTACTAATACCACAATTAGTATAAAACTACAAAACTACAATTACTATAAAAGTACAATTAGTTTGAAACTACTAAAACTACTGCTGATATAGAACTACTGTTAGTATAGAACTACTGTTAGTATAGAACTACAATTAGTATAATAGTAATCCTCTAGCTAGGCTACTATTTAAATTAGTAAACTTTATTAAATTGAATTAGTAGCTTTCTACTATAATTTTTAGTCATTATCAACTAAGAATTAGTCAAAATTGTTACTAACTAATTTAATAAACAAATCGGCGTAATTTAATTGTATTTAAAAGTGACTAATTTATATTTAGAGTCTGTAAATACTATATAGTTACATTATATAAAAAAAATTTTAAGTTTAAATTATAAAAGTTACATAATGAATAATTTAATTATAAATGAATGATAATGAATTAAAATGATAATTAAAATTTTAATTATATATATATATATATATATATATATATATATATATCAGAAAACTTATATAAATTATCTACCTTATATATCTATACATAGTGGAGAATTAATAGTCTCATTTTATTGCGGATCAAGAATATTAAGATTATACAGGAGGCGAAAATATGGAAGTTTAGAAGATGAGATTTACTAATAAAGTTTGTTGGAAGAGAAGACTCTCTCTCTCACTCTCTCTCACTCTCTCTCACTCTCTCTTGCAAGATCGAAATGGGCTCAATCGCGAAAGCTGAATATAACACATCTCTCTCTCTCTCTCATCGCTAATCTCGGCCCTGCTGGCGCAAACGCTTAATTTCGTTCCGGTACCATCGGCATGAGATTACCGCAATTTTCGCGTCGACAACGTCACCATAATTTCAAATCGTATATAAAGCCCCTTTTCGATCCTATACCCTTCCTACTACTCCTTCACCTACTACCTACTACCATTTTGGACAAAAACCTAAAATGTATAACGCAAGTCAAAAGAGAATATTGTCCTAAAGGCATATATTATTTAGAAAAGGTAATTCTCAATATTGAAAATTCTTGCTATTAATAGAAGACAGCGAAATCTAGTTAATTTTGTCTAGGTTCATGTCCCTGAATCAGCTGCGTGAATATAGACGATTTAGAGGCGGAAGTAGAAATGATTTTTCTAGGTTCACGCCTCTAAATCGACTATTGTCACGCCGTTGAGATAGAAACGTTTAACGTATGTAAAAATCGACTACTTTCACGTCCCTGACTTAACGGCGTGAATATAGCTGATTTAGATACGTAAACGTAGCTAAATTTGCTTTAATCCCACCTCTAAATTGGCTATATTCACGCCGTTGAGGCAGAGACGTGAACATAGCCCAATAT